AGAGAGAGAGAGAGAGAGAGAGAGAGAGAGAGAGAGAGTTCTATTATAGTACATATTGTATGTAATATTTTTCTTGAGAAAGTACAGGAAGGACCATCAAATATCTTACAAGATTGCAAATAGTTTCGATTAGCCAGCGATTAAATTAGAACAATAGATAGATTGTTGATAATGTTAGCGCAGTATATGCTTCGTATTTCAGAATTGATTTTTCGAAGATTAAAATCGACTGCTGTGTAATCGGTCGTGTTAAGAATGACGCGCAAAAAAAGGTGATACGAAATGATATATAAAGATATGAGTGCCAGATTGACAGAATGTACAGTTGCTTCTGCGAAACACCTGTAAAACATAATGGAACAAAAAGAAGAAGAAGAAATCATAGTTTTTATGTGACCCTCGTTCAAATTTCGGCAACGATTAATTCGCCAAATCTTTTACATTTAGATTTGTCTCCCAATAAATTTTGACCCCGCGTCATTGTGTCTTCCGTTTAACGATATTAAAATTTTTAATCATTTACTCCCCTCGCTTTTTTATATGTTGGAGATATCACGAGTGTATCAAATGGTACTAATGAAATACAGTTGCGTATGCAGGCATATAGGATTGAAGATTAAAATTTTTGCTTTGGAAACGAAAATATTATTTTTCAATATCTTTTGTAGCAAGTTTACGCTTCGACTTCGAAAGTGTGTAATAAGTGTGCCTTCTCTCCGTGTAAAAATAACACACTTTTATAATGTATTAATCTTACACGGAAAATCATACTGAATCATACATATGTAAGAAGGCATTTACTACACACTTGGATTTGCAATGTAATGCAAACGCGGAAATATCCCGCAGATCTCTTCGAGAGGCAGCAATATGGGCCTGTTCGTTTTAATTGCTTTTCCCACAGTCTCTTTCCTTCCTCCCTGTCTAAAGTCAGAATATGGTTATTCCGTTTGAAGAGTTGCAAAAGGTGCGGGTAAAACGATCAGACCTAACGGCGATGATGAACTCGAAGGACGACTGACTTGTGGTATGCATAATACGCTCGTGTGTATAAGTGTATGTCTGTGTAAGTCTTTTGAGTTTATCATCTATTCCTTTTCGGAGAAATTTATGGATTTATGTAAACTCCTATCCATATTTACATTGACCTTTTTCCCACCACACACGTGCGAAACGCGCGCGAACACACACACATCACCTGTGCGAAAGAAATTGCATATATAAAACAGATTTAGATAACCAAAGATGTGAAAAAAAAGCGAGATCGAATTGCTGCTCGTTCCTGTAATTATCAGAGACATATTTTGTTCTCATGTAAAGCACACACACCGAAATAATAAAGAATATTTTTTGTCGACGTAACCACTTATCTTTATTTCCTCTTCCGCAATGTGTGAAAGAAGAAGCGAGCCAAAAACAGTGCGAGTCAAAACTGCAAGTAACTTAGGTAGGTAACTCGTCTAAATAAAATGACAAGCACAATTGACTCCAACTCTTTCATTCGATCATTTGATCACATTTTAAAAATAATACTAGACAATTTCATATTTATAAAAATTATAAATACTTATATAGTTTTATCTCATTCTATCAAAAGTTTATTTTCCGTAACGGTAAACAAAAAGATTGTAAATAACGTTTCTATATACAATTTTGACAGTATGTTTAATTCATTGCGATAAACTAAATTAATTGAAGTGAACCGCAAATTGAAATATATGATAAATATTTATCTCTCAAAAAAAAATTTGATATAAAAAAACATGATTATAGATTTAAATAAAATATCGTGTTACAAAACTCAATATTCATTCGCGATGAAAAACAAATATTTGCATTGCGCAATGCATCTGTAATTACATGGTAACAAATTATACAATGGAAAAATTATTTGATCAAATCGTTGTAAGACCATCACAGTCAGATAACCCAGAGGAATGATCGATCTATAATTAAACTTCGATTCAATATCTATATAGATATCCAAATTGATCAATTATTTCTCTCTGAATAATGGTCTATATTTATATTTCATACAATATTCGAAGGCAAATTTTGAATTTAGGAGCTGTTTATCAGAATTCAGGAACTTTTTATGATGTCAAATAATCCTCTCTGTTGTCTTTAACAAATTAAAAATAAATGATGTGCATTCGTCAACTTATGAATTTAAATTATATTTACGATTTGACGACACAACTTCGATCCGTTTCCATTGTCCAATCCCGTTAAGCTTTAATATTTGTATATACTGTCGCTTTCTATTATGTTTGGAAGGAAAACACGTTCCTGCCAGCAACGTTTCATCTCCGGTTCAGTCACTCTCGCACGTTCTGCGAAAGGAATAACATCCCTCTCTAGGACGATTTGGCAGAATAATTAAAATTTAAACAATCTCTCTGCAACTGTAATCATCTCACGGCGTATCTTTGCAGTAAGTACAGACTACATTATATAGGTATGTACATACATATGTATACATGTCCGTGCATAATGTTCAAACCCATAACTAATATTCCTTTCACCGCGTTTGATGTTACCGAGATACGTAAAATGTTATAAGAAGTAAATGCCATGTCAAGTCATCAGTATTGCACTCTATCATTAAGATACATTTTATTGAATATATTTTACATCACATACTAATACAGTATAAATTTGAACTTTATTATGTAAGTTATATACGCTTCTATTTCTCTCATTTTTCTCTCTTTGCGAATATGATTATGTCAATACCGATTCATCTATTAAAAAAGAAGAGAAAGAAGAATAAAACATTGTTTTCTTTAAATAAATACAAAATTTTCTCAGTGTAGTTTACAGAAATAAATGCGTTAGTTAGAATGTTATAAAAAAATTAAGAATCTGGTAAAGCTCCTAATAAAAATAATCTCTTTAGTTTTATATTCTTATTCCAAAAAGGAGTTAAAATTTAAAACGCCAATATAGTTTACAATTTATGTAAAGAATTAATTTCTTGTTCAATAAATTTTTAAGATAACTTAAAATAATTACATTTTTTTCATAGTATTGCAGTATTTTATTATAGTTCATACACTACATTATTATTAATACTATTAATATTATTATTATTATTCTAATCGACGTTATCCTCACATTACAATTGTTTATTAAATTATTGATCTTTTAATTATTGTGTACGTTTTACTTGCGTTTGCTTATTTTATAGTCTCATTTCAGTTCTCATAAGCTGATAATATTAACATAATGAAAAATGGAAAATTTTCTTGTCCATCATCAAGATTCAAAGGAAGGACATGTTTGTTGGATCAACCAGATTTAGAAGAACTCAGAGATCGTATGTACATGATATTCCTCTCATACTTTATTAACTTTATACATCTTCGCCAAATAGTGTCTGGTCTATTCGAATCCAGATGTAAAAAAAAACTGACTTGATTATTCTCGGCATTCCGACGATCTACATCACTTGTTTACATTAATGCAATAATAAGACGAGATTGTGTCTCAAAAAAATGTATTTTCTAACAAATTAGTCAATAGAAAACTTTATTTGAAATAAATGGAGATCTTAGACAAGGGTAGAGGGGATTCGAATTGATCCAAACATCCTGTATACGATTGTTGAAACCGTCAGTATTACGAGGATTAATTTCATAGACACCGTATTTTACATATCTGTATTATGTCACAATAGTTTTGGACCAAAAGTTGAGAGGAAGCTTCAGAGATTTTAGGGTCAATGTAGTTAGGTGTCCTGATCTGACAGCTCATCCTTATTCTCTCGCCTCACAAGGTAAAAAGATTCAGTTTCAAATTCATTTGAATGTCGTCGATTGACATGCATTAAGAATGCAATTTATTTCGTTACATTTAAAGGACTGTGTGGCCACCCGGAAGTAATACAAGTCGGTAATTTCGAACATATGCATGACCCGCATATAGAAATATTACCATGGCATATCTCAGATCTCATTGATAACTGCTGTGAGGGAAGAGCTTCCTTCATCATAGGAGAAGGCCTGCTTCGCGATATATTTACAACTAAAGAAGTACATATTATTTCATACATATAACAATATTTTCCTCACCATAGCAGTCTCCGAAGATCAACAGGAAATTTTCCAAAGTCGTAATTTATCAGCCTATGGGTGTACTACATCCAGAGCAAAATATACTTTTTAATAATAATCGAAATAATGGTATTTTTTTCTTAAAGTACGTTCAGTTACCTTTAAAAACTCGCTAGATAAATCTCTTTAATGGTTTTTCCCTCAAAACTACGAATTTCCAAAAAAAAAACCGAAATTAAAAATTTTCTATTTCTTTTCTCCTGAAGATCTCGAATATTTTCAATGTCTCGATTTTCGCACCCATTTATTCTTCTTTCGGACTATTTGACGTATCAATTAAAAAAAAAAAGTTCAAATTCTATGTATTACAAAGATATACGCGATTGAAAACGTTGAAGATGTCGCACACCCAGTGTCCAGAATCGGGAAATACAGATATAGTGCTCTTGCTGAGAGTTAAAAAGAAATATTCTCTTATTGTTATTTTAGAAGAGTGCTTAACTTTAATTTCAATTCAACATAACTCACTATTGTTAATTCAATTTTAAGTAGACTTTTATTTTATAATTCTATTTTGTAATTCCAGCTTTATAAATGTCATCATTGTTGTTACAGCTTATGATGAATATGACGTATGCGCGGAAACGTGTACTCGACAACAACAGTTATGGTATTTCTGTAAATGATAAGAGGATCGTGTCGAAACGTCTTCCCGATTCCTATCCTGCTGTTTTCGATCTCTATGGCAACTTTCTCGTTTGCGGCGGTTTACAGAAAAATGTCCTCGAAGTGCGCGCCAAAAAGATTGATTCTGATGTGAATATCTTGCAACTGATACGGAATGCACTTTGCCAAAGATATCATAATTCCAATGTCGGTACGAGATAATTTATTATAGTTAATAAATAGTCAAATATATATTTAGTTAATGAACAAAGTAGGAAGCCATAAATAATTAATAGTTGATTTCTAATGTGCTTAAATAACATAGATAAACGAATTTTCTGTGTGAATTTTCTTGCAGGCTTGACCGGCGTGCTTCTCATAAACAAAGGTTCGATAGAAGCAGCCGTTGTGCCACCCGCTTTTATGCCTACTTCGTTGAGAAGAATTAACGAAACTGAGGATTTCTCCCTTATTAGATATAATATTCCAGCACCTCTTGCAGTTCACACTACAATGTTCAACTTTAACGAATTTGACCCACTGCCAGATGACGAAATGGTATTTATTCATGATGTTTAAATCATATACTATATCTCTTATAATCTAATTAATCACTGTTAAATTACACATACAAATTTTAGTATTTTTGTTTGAATGTTATTAAAAAAAATGTAGTTTTTTATATCACACATCAATTAAATAGGTCAAACTAATGTTACAAATTTTATAAGTTCTATGCATTTGTTGTGTAACTGGTTTCAACGTTATAATATTACTTAAATTCCCAAAATTAATATGTCATGAAGAATTCACAAATTATGTATTTTTTTAGACATATGTAGTTAACGAGTACAGTAATCAGATTATACCGAAAGACGAACGGATGGGTGGTAGCTATCGTAAAGATATCACACCACATGCAATGGAATTTGTAGGCTACTTTAATGTGCTGAACAAGTTGCATCGTGTTCATCGTGTGTAATATAAACTCAAACCCGGCACAGACTAACTCCTGTTTCCATATTCTAAGCAACATGACCGATATCACGCCTTTATAACATATAATTGTTATAGATATAACTTAACGCGAAGCAATGTTTATTGCTTTTACCTAAACCATTGTAATTCAAAAGTAAGCGTTAATAATATAAACGTAAATTTCTTTATTTTAATACAAAATTTATATTCTTCAAGCTTATAATTTTGTATTAGTAGCAAAATTTTGATTATTATATATAGCATTGTTTAAAAGAAAATAAAGTAGGTATATTCCTAACAATATAGAGTAAATTTCTATTAATGTAAACGAATTGAAAAGAAGTATACATTTATCAAATCACATCGAATTATGTTATTTGTCACATTTTTACAAATCCTTTACAATCCTTTACAAAATTATGAATTCCCTTTTTTCATTATTTTCTAAATTCATAATTTAAATGAGATATCTGTGTATCATTTTAATTTCGAAATTGAATATTGAATAAACTATGCAATAACAAAATACACAAATATTTTCTTAATAGGCATATGTTTGTCAAGCAAAAGAAGAATAGAATAATTTCACAATTATTGTCCTCGCACTTATACATTTTAACACAAAATGCAGGAACAATCTTTAAGAACTTTGATCTCATACATTCACGTACGCGATAATTCAGATTAAACGGATCACATATCTTAATTAATGTATTGAATAATTAAAAAAAATGCTATAACATTTAAAAAAAAACAAAGATTAATTAGATTACTTTATTCTTTATGTTGCATAAATATTTTATTTGATATATATGTTTGTACTTATAATAATATAACTATTTTATGAAAATAAATGAAAAAATTATAGTTCGATAGTTAAAAAATTGGAATATTTTTGATATATCGAACGTATTCACATGTACCGATTTCCGATATAAGTGGTATACTGTACAACTTGCCATTTACGGTATAAGGGAAAACTGGAGAGGAAAATAAAAAAATGAGAGTAGAATCTGTTCTTCTTTTATCGGAATAAAAGTTACGATCGCGTTTATTATATTACAATCCTCACATGTTTATTATGAATAAAGTACCAATAGTTTATAAGTTTTAAACGTTTGACAATTTTCATAAAGTAAACTCTGCACATTTGATATAAAAATCCAAAATTTACGGTATAAGGAAAAACTGAAGAGAAAAATAAAAGAATGAGAGTAGAATCTGTTCTTTTTTTATCGGAATAAAAGTTACGATCACGTTTATTATATTACAATCCTCACATGTTTATTATGAATAAAGTACCAATAGTTTATAAGTTTTAAACGTTTGACAATTTTTATAAAGTAAACTCTGCACATTTAATGAAGATCCAAAACTTTTTTTTTTAAACAATATCAAAGTCACTCTTTTATTTAAGTTAAGAAATATCTTTAAAAATTGTAAAGAAAAACGATTTATAAAATTGCATTTATAAATCATAGCATTCTTTAATTCTCCGTTTTTTTTTTCTAAAATGTGAAGTTGTTGCATGTTACTTCACAAAATCAAATATATACATAAATTGAGACAAATACATAAAGACATGTTTAATTTATATCTTATTGCTAAATTTTGTGTTAAACTTATGTAAAGAATGTAAAGAATTTAAAATGTTCATATAATTTTCGTATAATTTTCAATCTCAGAGCAATTCTCACTTTGTATAATACTTTTTATTTGCGTTTTCTTCACGATCATAAATCTTTTCTTAAAGATCTTCTATTTTATCGAACTTCTATCTAAAAAATCAATTTAATTGCTTCGGTGAAATCGAGTGCCGCAAGTATAACGACGTGCATAACATTCGAGAATGAAAGAGAGGAAAATTGAAGAGTCATTAAAATCCCCCTCCCCTCCAAGCGGCCAATGTCACTTTCACCACCTCGCGTTCCGCTACTGATGAATATGAGACAACAAAAATTCAAACAAATGAACGATCCTCAATTGTGTATTCGGCGTATAACAATTCTTTGAGATAAATATAAAAAAAATCGTTATTAAATTATCTTACAAAACATTGAGTTTACTAGCCTCCGCAAAATATTCAATTTTTTTGTAGAAAGACACATATGGATTTCCTGGAGGAGATCCATATAAGTCACGTTTAGTTCGAACACTAATTCCCGTTTGAAAATGAATTCGAGATACGCCGAGGATTAATTTCCGCCATCGGACTAATACGGAAACACACGTCCCATACCCATCGCTATAATCTCTCTCTCCGAGCCATTCACCCTCCACGACTGTCCCTGCCTCTCTCCTCGTCGCTCTCTCCACTCACGACGGGTCCTCTCGCTTCCACCGATCACCAGGTAAGCGACACAAGTGAGGAGCGTGAGGCGTGCATCGCGGATGCTGGAGGGATTTCGTAGGTGGCCGCTGCCGCGGCTTCTCGAATCGCCGGCGTGGGGATAACTGGAGCTTCGGCTTAAGTCAACTGTATCGCCTCAAGATGAAGTAGTACACACTGTCTCGTTGCGGAGTGCATGTGCCGGGCACGCGAATAACGGATCGCGCGGGTAGAAGCGTGCAAAGAGAACCGGAAATCGTCGCCGGGGCAGGATAACGCGGAGGGCTTGTGCAGTTCGTTTCCCGAAACTCTTGCTCATTAAATGCATTAAGGCAGAAGATATGAGACTCTACGCTGTGAGTTAAATCAGTTTCTTACGTTTCCTCCTTCCGCACTTTTGCAGAGTGTTTTAACTTAACTATAGTTTAAAAGTAAAAAACCGTTCTACGTTTAATATCTTAACAGTACGCAATTCTATACTTAAAAGAAATCCTAAATTCTGAATAACTGTAAACAGTTAATGAGTATCAATAACGATAATAATGTAAAATGAGAATCATTCTTTTTTATATGAATGCTATTACAAAATTAAATCTAGAATATTGTATATAAAACATAATTTTATTGTAACTGTTTATTATTATATTATATTATATTAATTATTAAGTAATTAAGAGTGAATGTTACAGAGCAATTTTTTCATTATTTCAACTAATTATATATTATATTATTTTCTATATATTTGTTTATTTTAGACTAGTTTATATTATTATATTATTATATTAATTATAAAGTAATTAAGAGTGAATGTTAACAGAGCAATTTTACACTATCTCAATCGATTATATATTATATTATTTTCTATATATTTGTTTATCGTAAACTAATTTATATTAATAATAATTTTTAAAGTTAACAAATAATGTCAAATGGTAATCTTATTTTTATTAGAAATAAACGAAAAAATAAAAATTTTAATTTATAAAAAAATATAATTACAGAACAGAAATGTGTGTATGGGTATGTGTAGATTTATTGTAATTTAATTAAGATGTATTACATTGTATTTTTACGACAAAATGCATTTTTATAAATCTATAGATATTTTTTCATTAAAACGTAGATAATAGAGCCATTTTTTGCTGCACAAAATTTATTATGATTACTTTCCTTTTTTACAGGTTGCTCTTATAGCATGGGCGGCATTTATAACTGCATCTTCGGAACATAACATCAGTTTGAATGATGAAAAGGTAAATTCCGTGAATGTTGTATTAAATAATAATGTAGAAAATTATGTAATTTACGTAATTTATTATCAATGAATTTTTCCGAGAAAATTATTAAAATACAGCATTTTATTATTTTTTTATAATAAATTATATAATGCAAAAATTACAATTATAACTTGTAATTTTTAGTTACAAATTTTAAGCAATTTTAAACAAAAAATGAATAATTCATTAATTATACAAGCTTCGAAGAGATATGAAAAAAATATTGCACATGTAGATTCTCTGTCTTAATTTATTTACAATCAAAATTTAGTTAGAACGTTTTAGAAAATGATTTTGAGAATGGTGAAAAATTGTAACGAAAAAATGTAATTAAGTCTAGAACAGTTCCTATATGCGGTAGAGAAAGTTCGAGGACGATTGAATCGCGCGTCATTAAAAAAGTTTCTTCTTTTTAATTTCGATAGCTATAGCTGTAGGGGATATCTGGCTAATAATGACAGGCCCTAGCTAGAGGTTTAGGTGAATAGAGTGCTTACAAACATCCTTAACCTTGGGGCATAGAAATCTTTAACCTCGATCTACTTGCAGCGCGTCATTCAAGTGCTACTTTACGTATAGGTGCGACGAGCCGAGATGAATTACAGCTGGGAGCTCGCATAGGCCGAGTGAATGTCGTAGTTTCGAGGAACGGAGAGAGAAAGAAAACATTTTCACTTGCAACACGAAATAGTTCATTGGCTGTGGTTCCCACCTTTTCTAAAATGTCTTTCGCGAAACACCGGCAATTCCATTGAAAAAAACGAACAATTAATTCTTCTTCACATCACTGTGTACAATATAATTTATTGATAAAATGAAATATTACTAATTTGCGAAGAATATAAAATAAAATTGAATCCGAACTAAATGTTTCATACATGAATAACAAAAAAACATAAATATGAAACAATATATATATATATATATATCTATTACATAAATATGAAAATTTAACTCTAATTTATAAAATTAGATGAATTTACGCCAATGATCAGTATTTTGAAATTTAATCATTGCAGAGAAAATGGTAGTCAAGAAAGTCGAATACTTTCGCGTACATCTTTATTTGCATACTGGAAATTTTCACGTCTTCGTGTCAGAATGTATTTCGTTTTGTCTGCCAACAAGTTTCTAGTGCAGTATAAAATTATTTGTCCAAGAAGTCTTTTTACGGATGATCGTTATCATTTTAAAAAAAAATTAGAAATGGAAATTTTCTATATGTATTATCCAGAAGATGTATAAAAAAAGCGTGGCAATCACACAATTTTAAAAATAACATTTAATAAAAAATTGTATCAAAAATAAAATAACACGAAGAATGGAAGTTTCAAACTTTATAAAAGCATAATAAAATTGAACTTTTTGCACGCATAATTTAATAATACAAAGAAGAAACTTTTCTCTCTCTCCCTCTCTCTCCCTCTCTCTCTCTCTCTTTCGATTTCTATTAATTTTTGTTGACAATTAAAAACGATAAACCACGCTGTATGTGTGTATACTAGAGTGAACTATACTTGGAACAATTTTTTCCGAATTTTTTTCACGACACCCCCTAAAGTTGTTCCATTTGGTAAAAAAAAATTTTAAAAGTTGAGCTCGATCGAACAACGGGAACACGTGGCACAATCCTGTTAAAGTTGTTAAAAAAACAAATATTTTTTTCACAAAAAATAGGAAAATCCAATAAAAAGAATTCTGAATAAAAATTAAATGATTTTCTTAGTAAATGTTGACCATAATAGTATGTCTTTTAATAAATATAGTATATTTAAATTGTAAACAAAATAAAAAAATATATATATAAAATTTTCGGATTTTATTGAACAAGCTGCAATTACTTTTTTAGAAAGTTTAGGAGAAAAATATCTATTCGTCGACAGTTTTGAATTATAAAGTTTTCATGCACTAAATTTCAAAAATATAAATCATAAATCTATACTAAAATTAAATTTAAAAGAATTTTAAATTGAGAGTTAATTGCATACTTCTCTCAGGTGTTTTTCTCTTTTTCTCTCTTTTTCTGAAGCACATTACGGAAATATTGCCATTTAATATATATTTGCAAAAAACAAACTTGACATTTACAAAGTGTTCCAAGAATTAACTTAAAAACTTCAGATTAGATGTGTCACGTCTTTCCGTTGTCCGATCAAGCTCAACTTTTACACAATTTTTTTCCATCAAATGGAACAACTTTAGGAGGCGTAGTGAACAAAATTCAAAAGTTAAAAATAAGGTCCATCCTAGTGTATATATATATGTATATATATGGAAAACAATAAGTCATATAATAATTTAAATTTATTTTTCTGAGCGTTTCTGAGACTTCTTTTTTTATTAATTTTAAATCTTAATTTTTTAATTAAACGTTCTTTAGTTTGCCGCTGATTGAAAGTGAGTTTTCCTGTAGCAAGATGGAAGTGTCCCTATAGATTTCTTTATATACTCTCACGCGAAATAAACCGTTTAAGGATAAACGGTGAAAATTCCGCGTCGTGCAGGCGCGAGTCGCGTCAGCGGGCGGGTTAATCGCGGTTGTTTAGTTCGAGTGCATTCCGGGTGAAATTGATGCAATTGCTATTATACAAATATCCAGGACTGAATTAAGAGGTGCGCTCGTGGAACGTTTGTCAGGGACAAGGTAAAACGCGACAACGGGCGGAGAATGCGCCGGCGGGCATGACGAGCGTGTGCATTTTCTTCGCGTTAAAAGGAAACTCGCCAGTGAAAGTGGCCACACGCGGACGTATAAATTCGTCCGCCGGTGATTGTGCCGCCGTTCCGACGAAATGCACCATCGCGCACCATCGTGTGTTACACAATGTCACGCAATGTAGGGAAACGAATCGATCGACGTTTGTCAAGTGTACGATGGATAGTCACCGCGGCTATGAAATTTTCCGGTCGGGAAGCTGAGAAAATTATATCTCGATCGACTATTTTATGTTCTTGAAAAAAGTCGATTAGATTAATGTCGCATCGTGCAAATCTTTTCAATTTTACTCTTTCAACATAATCAGCGATATTTCGGGCTGATTCAGTTATATTGGGTTTGTGGGTAAGAAAAATAAAAAAGAAAATTTAAATAGGTATGCATTTAAATTATGCGTTAACAACTTATTTTCTTTTTTTAAGATGAGACATTCTCTAAATATTATTTTAATCTGATTAATAAAATATATGCAGATAGTTCAGTAAATATTTATTTTCTTGTGATGACACGGGAACAATGTATGGAGAAAGTTGTTTGCGTTGTGTTTATATATAAATCGTGTATCAAATTGAAAAGATAAGACCGCTCGCTCTTGATACAGCAAACTGGTGCCTAGCTCGACGTAGTTACGGTTATTCTTTATTGATGCCCCATAAAAGGCTACACTGTTTGTTATGATTATTTTAATGCACCACTTCTCTCCATATCCGTGTCGGATAAGCCAAACGATAGTCAATTACGTCTTGATTTATTCGTAATATTTACGCATCCATGCAGCGTCACAGATCCGTAACACACGCAAAAAGTTCCTGACGCTTCTAGTTCACTAGGAACGCTGTTCAAACTAGGTCATCATTGGCAAAACGAAATATGGAAATTTGAATCGTAAAAAAAACAGATAAGTCTCGAAAAGTACATATATAATGTAATTTTCTTTTTTATAATAATATTTGTTTTAGAAGTAGTGTATTAAACCGAATTATCTTATTTGTAAAAAGTGATTCGTCCACTAAAAATTGAGAAATTTTATCAAATTAAGCTTTAAGAATTAAACCGCTAAATTGAACTCTTCAATTAAACTCAAACGGATCTTGATTTATATTTAATTAGTGACCGTAAAATCATTATCCAAATTAAGCTTTAAGAATTAAATCACTAAATTTTACCTTTTAATTAGACTCAAACATAGATCTTGATTTATATTTAACCGTTGACCGTAAAATTATTATCCAATTATTTGAAATTTAAAGCATTAAAAAATTTCAAATAAAAATTTTCATACAACAGACGAAATAACAGAGTAAATTCGCAATTTATAAGATGCATTTGACAAAGAGATACAGCTTCAAAAACTCGATCTAATCGGATTTATTTCTTTATCCCGAACCGTTCAATTAGAGATATAGAAATACGTGTTTTGTGAAAGAAAGCAAAATATGTGGTTTCGGCAAATAAGGAGAAAGTAAAGGGTCCACCGGCGTGGATTATTGAGGACGTATCAGCTCCGCTTCGGTCTCGCTGGACCATCGGGATTTACTCGACTCTCACTGGTTTTTCTTTTGCGCGCGGTGCAGGAATGCGGCGCATCTTTCTCGTTTCTCCTTTCTTCTCGCTCGAACGCCACGGGAGAAAGGGAGATCGGTGTCGGTACCGTAACTGCACCTTTCTCTCGCGCCGGGCGACCGACAGATGCGTTATTTTCAGCCACCGCGCCGATCTCCCCGCGACGCGTAAAGATCGCCGTGCGGGATTACGACGGGAAACTACGACGGGGTGCCGTAGATTCTTTTTAATGGGTGTGCCCGTCCCATATAGCCGGAGCTCCGCACGATTCTTTTCGAGAACTGGTTAATTATCTCTTAGCAAACGACAGACATCTTAGCGTAGCGAAACTCATTGACGGTTTTTTTTCTCTCTTTTCTTAACAACAAATTTATCGATTTTCATCCTCGTGACTACTTTACAGGGCAATAATTAGCAGTCGCATTTTCGAGAAAGTTGGTCGATTATGATAAATGACCAAAAAATTCGTTGCGCTACAAACTTTTTGGAGAAAATATTGTTCTTTCATTCGATTACACTTTTTTGCATAATGTATATACGTACATACAATGCGTATAATCTATCAATCACTATGTTTAGTTTTTTGCTTCACAAAAAGTGTGCCGATATCGTTACCTTGGAACAGTCGAAGCATATTAGTCGTCGATTTTTATCGCGAGCATGCGCTACACTTTGCATTTTTTTTACGCTTTTTTCTTGCAAAATCTTCTGGGTCACCGCGATTTGCTTCGTTTGGAGATCCGTGGATACGCGAGTATCTCGTTTCCTCCGGTCAACAACATCGATGTCAGATACCGCAGAAAGAGTTTAAAAAAAAGGAATAAACGACTTCAACGTGATAGAATGAGGAAAGTTACTTAACGAGCGTTCGAAATAATTTAAAAGCATCGGCGAACAGGATAATTAAGGCTGCTTAAGAAAATGAAGGGAAGTGCTTCTTAATATCGTACATGATAAGTTACGTAGCCGGTGAAATAAATTCTCTCGTACGTGTGATTTATGCAAACATTCGCATAAAGATACAAATGAATGGAAAACGATAATTATAGCTGCACTAATATCAGACTTCTTGACTTCGTTTTCCTATGAATTAATCGTCGTTTGTATAATAAAAAAACTGAAGATTGAAAAGGAGATAAAATATATGTTACAAAATGTAAAAATGTGATAAATAAATGATACAAAATGATACAAAATGTAATAAATAATTTTTTAGTATTATTATTATTTTATTTCTTAAGTTTCGATAGCTTTAACTTTTTTACACAATGTGTTATAATTTCTACAAATATATATGTATAAAGTGTTATATTTTCGTGGAAAACATATATATCGTTTATTTTTGAATGTATTAATCAGCATATAAGTTTATAAATTTATTCAATATTTATTTATATGTATCAATAATTAAATAATAATAATACTATATTAATAATTAATTAATAATAATACTATATATATGTACTAATGCTAATCGATAATACTATATATTACAAGTTGCAATAAATAAAATACAAATATCTTTTGAATTAATAAAATCGATTTACGCATTATACATATAATATGTTCTTACACGACTATAAAATTTTTATTTTTATAATTTTGCAAAAAATATATTTCCGTAATTTTTTTTCCAATGTAATTTTCACCGTAAAATTATTCTGAGTAATCGTGAATTTTCTAGACAATTGTTTTAATTTATTTATTTTTCAGGCTGCCGATCACACGGAGTCTCATGGTGTGCCGACGAAGCAGATAGTGCAGCCATACGTGACGGATGAAGAAGCGAAGAGTTCTGGGCAGACGGGCACCGAGGATCAGTCTGACGATTTCGCGAATGCCGGATTAAGTAGATCAGCAGTTCACGACGACGAGGAGAGAGGATCGAATGATGGCGTTTCCACGACCGATTCCTCGTCGCCAGGATCGATTTATGCGACGCCGCTCTCCGAGACAAGTATCCGTTTAGAGACAACCGACGAGTATCCATTTAGAGAGTATCCAAGTCACGCGCCAGGGGACACCGAGGATGTGCTCCTTGTCGAAAATGCCGGCAGTTTTGGACAAAAGGTCCGGCAGGATCGTCCGCGTGACAGAACAATTGTCAGGACTCGAACAGTCGTTCGAACGAGCGAGGGCGTCGTCCGAGAGGACGACGAGTACACGAGTTTTCAGAACACCGTGCCTTTCAGCAGCACTGTGTCATCTCGCGAAAATGGAGATAACGACGGAAGGCCTTACACGTCAGCTACTCGGGAACCATATGTGTTCGCGCTGAAGAAGGAAAGTAATTTAGCGGACGACGATTCGTCTTCTGACGATTCTAAAACGATCAAGTCCGAAGCTGCAGCCGCGGAGAATTCCGATGAGATTTTCAGTGAAATCACAACGGAAAACCCGCCGCCGGGCAACATTGCCTCGATCCTCGAGAACGATGTCGTGCCCGAAATTCTACCGACGCCACAAGCGAGATTAACCCGAGCGCATAATGATACCGCGAGCGGAAGGATCACGGAGAAATCTGCGGAGTCTGCGAAAAAAACGGAGAGCGTTGTGAGAACGTCGACGACCGTGGAGATCAGTCCTTCGTTTCAAGCGAGATTTTCAGGCCCCATCATAGTGGCCGACTTGCCCGATAGAGAAACTCGGGAGATGGCCGTTGATTACATGGACGATGCGTACGAGGCGTACAAAGCAATCGGGAACGCCGAGATTACCTCGGAGATCAACGCCGAAGGCACCAAAGCCGCGGCTTCCGCAATAACATCCTCGGTCATGTTGAATCCTCTGCAAGTCGGGATCACGCTGGTGAACGCCGACCAAGCCAGGTTGACGGACGACAGGGAGCGATCTGCCGGGATGGACACCGAGGATTATCCCCAGGACGATCTTCAGCGTCTAGCAACTGTCGACAAGGATTTCGTCAAGAACAATGACAATCAATCGCATAGCGATTATCAGAATGACGGCTTTGAACGCGACGACGCGGTCGAGAAGCGCGCCGAGGTCGACATACAGAAAGTTCCCGACGGCTCCGTCGAGATTCAAAAGTCCGTCGAGCTGTACCACACCGCGCCGGTGCACGAGATTCATTATCCCCCGGAATACATTCAACAGACTTCAAACCTCGGCGTCATCGAGACGAACAATATTGGAAATTGGCAGAGATCGAAGCAGCCGTATGATCAGGTCGAGCAATCAGAATTACGACCGACTTACGATATCTATCAAGGTAGTGTAACGTTACCTCTTGATCGTTCGATCGTTATTTATTTATCTCAATTTCATTCCAATCTTTAAATAAGATATATTTATAACAGAGAGTTGTTAGCAAATATATTTATAAAAAAACCCTTAAATTTTAATTACAAAGAGCCATGTTTAAGACATAAGGCTTTTAAAAATACAATAGAAATTAACTAAATTATTAGTCAAAATAATATATTTTATTTATTAATATTTTACTTTTATACGGAATCGCGAATCCGCACAAAATCTTACATAAACTTCATATTGAAGTTAAAGAGAACTGCCCTAATAATAATTCCGAGAGACGACATTAACTTTCACCAAATTTATTCTACGCGGAAAAAAGGCTCTATTATGATGCAAACTTAGATTAACATGCAACGACGGATTAATGCTCGCCATATGCGCATAATAATAATAATTATTATTATTATTATGCTCGCATTATCAAAACACGCATCAGCGCCACTACAAATTGCCAGTTTTCACTCGTATACACGTGGTGGAATGCGGTAAACACTGCGTTAATATTGACTTCCGTTCCAGGTAACGACCAGGACGAAAAGAGCGTCATTAAGGCGCACGCATCCGCGCTCCCGCAGAAGCTCAACCAGCACGAATACAATGCCCTCGAGGACGACGTTGGCAGACCGGTGGCCTCGGTCGTGGCCGCCGAGTTCTCAACGATCGCTCACGGGCAGACGCCTCTCAAGCTGCAGCAGTTCAAGTACAACGGCATGCAGCCCGTTCTGCTGGCACCGAGTCAATTTGATGACACGTTATACGATCAGTCCAGCGTACGACATATATTTAACGGCAACGATAACGGCACGCCGCCGCGCGCAAAACCTATCGGAAGTTCCACGAGACAAGAAACGGCGAGCGAGCCCGCAAAACCGTACGTGCCGAGCGCGTATTCGGGGCAGCAGCCGCAATCGTCGAGTCAACCGCACGATCATCAGCACCCATTCCGCTCGCCGGAGGTAAGACGGCCGGAAGTTTCGCAGCTCCTTCTTAGGATAATCCCCGAGGGATCGTCTCCGAAGGGCGGCTTCCTGGTGCCGATCCCGCGGCCCTATTCTCCGATCGAGAAGATCGTCGAGAAGACGGTGCACATGCCGCACGCGATCGAGAAGAAGGTACCGGTGCCGCATGTCGTGCACATGCAAGTGCCGGTCGAGAAGCAGATCCGCCTGCCGTCGCACATCTATCCGCTCCACATCGAACGGGTGATCGAGAAAAGGGTGCCATATACGGTCCAGCGATTAGTAGTGCAGCCTCCTTCGTATCCGCTGCACGTGAGGCTACCTGCGGCTTACCCGGCATACCCGGCGGCACCGACGATCGAGCAGCCGGCGGCGCACGCAACGGTGCCGATCGAGAAGGCCACGGAGAAGCCAGCAGCAGCGGTCTCCTCGCGGCCATCGCGGCCGTACCGTGCGAACACGGACAGGCCGCTCGAGAGCGGCGGCGGCGGCGGCTCGACCGAGACCAGATTCACCAAGTATTATCAAAAGCCGCTGGAATCGATCTTCGCTGGGGGAAACGCGAATTTCCACGGCACTGCCAGCGGCTTGACGTTCGCGCCGCAGAGCGAGGCAAATGTGTCGCAGTTCTACAGCGTTCCCTACAGCAGACCGTCGGCGTACGACTACAATGTCGACGTCGGCAAGACGACCTTCATCCCCGCGGCGCACTTCTCCAACGTCAAGCTGGTGATACTGCCCAAGAAGTTCGGCAGTCACATGATACTGCGGCCGCACACGGCCACGCCGTCGTACGCGATACCGTCCTTCGGACGGCAGATCCTGTACAATCTAGTGGAGAAGGACAAGTCGGCCAAGGATGAGTACGTGGGGCCTACGCCGCCGCGCAAAACCTCGCAAGGCAAGGTGTTCCCTCAAACGAAGTCGCCGCAGTTCTCCACGAGTTCTCAATCGTTAGCCAATCTGAGGAAATCCAGGCAGCCGGAAGCGCAACATCGCGGAAATTTCAGGCAATCGAAAATGGAGTACGGCTTCAAGCCGCCTATGGTACCGTCCATTCAGTATGACGAAAATACCGCCAGTAAAGTAGAGAATTAATGTCATGGCTTATGATAGTAATAGTAAAGATTAAACGAGCGTTTGAAGTGCGCCATCAAAAGTGTCTAAGGGACTTTCAAAGGTTTCTCGAGTATATTTTAGATGTTTCTTGCACTCTTGCGTTATTTGAATATTTCAGAACGATTCATGGATATACGGTTGATCTATTGAAAAATAGATATTAATGAATAGGAGAGAGAGCTTATAATTTTTCCTTCATATCCACAATGAAGATTAATTTGTGACACATTTTAATTTTTTATATACTTAATATAAATATATATATTTATTATTGAAAATTATATTTTTCAATCACTTGCTGTGTTTTCTAATTTATTTCGAGTTTAGTAGTGATTTTAAATTGTTTTGAAATTTATATTAGCATTAGATCTATGTTATATTTTATGGTAAAATGTTATATCTTTGTATTTTATATCATATTATCATAAGCATCTGAAATTATTTTATCAGTGTTGTAAACAAGTGAGAAAAAAGTGATAGTTTGTATGTTTGTATTACAACATATAAAAAATTTTTTATTGTAATATTATTAATTGCAAATAGAAAACACAATTTAATACTGTTACTGTTAATACAGTACAATATATAGTTACGATAATGGAATGGACGCATGTGTAAGTTTTGTACAATATATTTTCTATTTTCATACATTATTTGCCACTGCGTTGTTTATTTATACATTTTAATTCTATTTTTATTGTACTCCTTTTTATATATTATTATATTAATCTAAATTTACTTAATTTTATTTTTACAAATTTTTATATATTATATTGAGTTCTTATCGATCGTAAAAAAAATTAATACTTATAAGAAAACGTTCGCAATCTATTCCACCTTCACTCTCTCGATTAGGTATGTGTAATAAATCAAAATAAGAGGTATGTCTTTTGTTACAAGTATTTCTTTACTGCTTATGAAATAAAATATTTTTTTAAAGAAAACCGATTCCTAAACGTTAAAATTAGAGTAAGAGATATGAAAAAAATGTTTTAAACTAAAATGTTACGCTTTTGAAAACACTTTATGAAGGCATACATTTTTTAAAATACTCGCTACCATCCACTATTATTTTCGAGAATTTTAAATTTTTTCGGACGAAAACAAAGCTTCTTTCTAAACAAATTTTGCATAAAAAATTTGTTACAGTCTCCATTTATGCACACTCTTCAACAAATTGGAAACATCTGTCTATTCATTGTTTCTCATTAATACTGATTTCTTCTTTCTAACAGGTGCGCGTAATCTATTTATAGGTATCTGTTATAACTGTAAACGTATATTTTTTTCATATTTATTATAAATATTAGTGCTTTTTTATATTTATATTTACGGCAAGAGAAATTGTTTTGATTATTTACTCGTGTTATTTTTTATGCTGTATTACAAGTCTCAAATTATCATTAATGGATATTATGCCTGCAGTAGATAGCACATAACTACATTATGAGGCTCAGAGAACTGAATTATCGACATAGATAATTATGGATGGAAAAGAGGAATAAAATTATAAATATTTGCATTCGTACTAACAATAATAAGCTAAACATTTATTAATGTCTCGATATAATTTATCTTGTTTAACATAATATGTATTAATATCACGAAATGTATATGCGAATGTGTCTATTGTTTAAATTCAAAGCAATACTTCGTAAAAGGTATGTTTGCAACGCTATTAACACAACGGAGTTTATTCCTTTCTTCTCGCATTGCTCAATTTCATTATGCTTCACATTCACCTAGCTAAACTGCATTTTTTATTTGCAATAAAATTTGGTAACACACTTCTGTATCTCCGAGAGCGCATCGTTGCGTATCGCTCAGCGAGCCATGGCGCGATTTTCCGTAATGCAAGCGTAATACTCGCGAATTACTCGCTTGCCGTTTGACTCGTTAAAAAGTCTGGCAAACTGCATTTAACGTAGCATAACGATTTAATAATTTATACGTTGAACGTTAACAAGTCGTGTAACATGTTTCGCGCTTGCACAAAGACGTATAGCCAGGCATTCCTATATCACGTAAACATCAGGTACATTAAAGAGCAAATGGAACATGGAAATTAACATAAATTGAGTTTCCACGTGTATACGTCGGATATATGAAAACCGCACGTTTGATACATCTCATTTCAATATCATTTTCCGTGAGAATATCTCTCTACATAAAATGTAAATATCGTACTGTCATTACCCGGCTACTGAATATAATCCCCGTAACTAATGGTATACTGACTCATCACAACGTAATCGAAATGTTCAGAGTATTGATCCTCTAAATAGTCTAAATGATATGTCGAATAAAATCGAAAAAGAAATTTTTGAAAATATCAAATCAATATCCTGATTTTTTTTATCAATTCTCTTCTTTTTACTACTTAATTTTTATTTAAAATATATTTTTATCAAATTACTGAAAAAATTATCATTTCAATTGCATGTATGAGTTTACAGTTAGACAAATTGTTGTAATAAATCGTATATATAAAAATTCATGCCAGAGATAAATCGATGACTTCGGGGTAAAGCGATTATTGAGGACACTCCCTCGATTTTAACGACAGACGAAGCTATTTATCCCCTTTTTTGCAAGTCATCCGGCATGAACCGGCAATCATCATTCGAGCTCATCGTTATATGCGCACAACAGCGGTGGGATTCCAGCCGGTGGTGAGGACGCTGATGAGGGAGAGATTGCGTGACCGCCGGCGCTGGCATTGCGAAACGGAATTATCCGCCGTTAGGTAATCATTGGTAAGAAGAGCAAATAGCGTCAAATTTAAATCAGATTGTATCACCGCTCGGCATTCCTGGCCGGTGGCTCTCCCGTAGAAAGCAAGCAACGCGTGAAACGCATCACTTAGGAAAGTCTCACTTGAGCTTAAGTGCCAGCACGGGTACCCCCCGTCAGCTCTGACAGACTTTGAAGATGACTGTCATATTGCACGCACACCAGTGTGTACGTAGTTTTGTGTAATAATAATGATTTATTATAATAAAAGTAAGTGTATAAAAATTCAATAACGTGGTATATTACCTATTTAATAATAATACAAAATGTTTCTATAAATTGTAATTTATGATTTGTAATAATTACAATTTGTAATATTATAAAAGTATAATTTATAATAAAAATAAAGTTTTCGGCTTTAATTTATATACACGCATAAACTAATTTTTCATAAAATTTCCGAAACAGACACTAGTTCGATGAGAGCATTTTATTTTATAATAAATCAAAATTACTTGTAAATGTGATTATTTATTTAAAGATTTTGAAGATTCCAAAATTGTAATATAAAGTATGTATTTTTGTGGTATTGCTTCCCTATGATTAGTGTATTTATGTACGAAGCCGACTTAAACGCGTTTCCGTAACCGTCAAATCCACCGTTAACAAATTGTGGGATAATTCGCGAACGGAACTATTGTTTCGGAACGAGCGGTGTGTGTCATTAAAAACAAATAAACTTCTGCGAGACCGTATCGTATAAAGAATGACAATCCGTCTGGGTGGCCCCATTGCAATGTTTCTGTCATTCCCTCATTAAATCACAACGGTGGTCTCTCTGTACTAATATACAGTACAATTCAGATGTTACAATAAAAAACGGACATAAAATCAAATGAGTTTGAACAAGGAAGAAAAATGGAGAAGATACTAAATCAATATCCGTTCTTTAAGTGATATCGGCTCCTATTCTGTAGCTCTTAACGACAGTGTCGTTATATTGTCATTATGTACGTATTATACATGGTAAGAAAGCTACGCAACGACGACATAACAATGTCGACTGTCATTAAGAATTACAAAGTAGAAGCCATTGTTTTTTTTTAATGTACAAACTTAAATCTTTCTCATTATTATTCAATTAATTTCAAGTAAATTTTATGTTGACAGAATTTTAATTTTAATTTTTCTAATGTCAAATATATTTATTATAGTTAAATAAAAGATAATTTTTTGTAAACCCAAGAGATATGTTTTTAATAGTTTTTTCTATGTTGCACGTAACTTTTCGATTTTTTCAAAATACTGTATGACACAATTTCAAAAAATTTGAAATTAATATTACACAAAAAGGTTGCTCTAACTTTCTATGCTATATTGGTATGCTAAAAATTATATTCAGAATTAAGTACATTATTAAAATGTTTACTTTCACAAAAAAAATTGTATTTAAATGAAGATTAATAGATCCAATATTTAATTACATCCTATTAATTTTAATTTTCACATCAAATCCTTTCGATAATTGAAAGTTCCATTAATCTATTTAATCCTGAACGAAGTAAAAACCTTTTTAGCATGTCATATGGTAGTAACATATGGTAGCAAGATAAATCATATTAAAATAGCCATTCTTTACCGCTTCAACCTCGAATTTCTTAAGATTGCGCGGCATGTAGAGCATTTCTAAAGTCATAATCCTATTGAACACGAGAAAAAACGTAAGTTATTCCTTTCTTTGGATTTCTTTCTCGTTGAACTCTGCTACCGAGCATTCTACATACACGCGCATCTTTCTTATAGATTTCTGTTAATGTTACATGAGAAGATAAAGTATGTCCATAATTGGATCCGCCGTAAGCGAAAGGATTAACCCGCCGTTTGGGTCTTACGCGGTCTCTAACTGCTTGACGTAACGAGCTACATACGTTGCATTAGCATATCGTTACGGTTGTCGGTGCACGCCAGTGTGCAGGCATATATTAATATTACGAGGATGATGACACCCCTGTTGCTTGCGTTACACGCGCGAAGTGTCTTTCAAGGACACGGCGGGATGTGCGTATTATTCGCGGGAGAAGAAGAAAAAAAAAAGAAATGAAAGGTGAGAGAGCGTCGTCGTTAGTGATGCTCCAGATGAGCGTGTGCCCTTCCTCGTGCGCGCACGCGGTGACGACGCATACGAAAGAGGATCGAAAGGCAGGATTTACGGAGCGAACGCGCATCACGCTGGAGGATCCCGTATAATTAAGGCCCGATTGCGCAACTCTCTCTAAACGGGAGCGATGTTAGCCGCCTGCTGTGCGTGCCTCCTCGTCGTAATCCTGATTCGGGGGCGTTTTACATGCGCGCTGTTTGAATCGACGCGCGTACATTAGATGGACGATTGTTCGTGGATCAAAATCTCTGAGATCATGCAAATCGCAGAGAATTTTATATGTACTTGAGTTTAGCTCCAATGGATATAGTAGTCTCATAGCTAGTGAAATTCATTTTTTCGGGTAATTTGATAAGTAGCACGCACGATATACGCACGCTTTATCCGACTGAAAGTGGTTTTTTTATTGTAATTCTATTAATGTATTTGTGTAACATTTGTCACTCTTATTTGACGAATCAATAATTATTTCAATTAAAAATTGAAAATATTAATTGCAAATTTCTCTATAAAGATATATCAAAGGCCATTTATGGATTGTAGAAAGTGGCAGATCTTTCACTGAAATATTAGTCTAAATGAAATCATTTAAGAATTTTAGAAAGTGACAGGTCCTTCAAACACTAAAATATTAACCTAAATGGTCCATAAAGACAAATTTTAAATTAATAAAAATCAATGAAAAATTTGAATTTATCAATTCAACTTTATCAGTCCTCCAAATAAAACATTAGTTATTATAAGTGTAGACTTTAGACCGTCTTTATAATATTAATGATACTTAGTGTAATTATATCTACTAATTATCAATGTCAGCCTCAACGTCCTCCTACGCGCCTTCTGTACGCACTCCCCCTTGAGCGTCGTGTCCGTTTTACAGGGATCCTGTATGTCTCTCGGTAGTTAACGAGCTCCCGTGGACCCACTCGTGGACTCCTGCGCGTTCGCGTCCGTTGGTCCTGCGACTTAATTAAGACTCAATTGCCTAATTAGTCCGCTCGAAGAAGGCGAGCAACAACGGCGCACCGCACCGCGGGCTGTCCCACGCGATGAAGTAATCAGCTTTCTCCGCGGCGTAGAACGCTCTTCGACTCGGATCCGCTCTGCTCCGTTCGTTCTACGCTCTCTATACGCTCGCTCGCTCGCTGCACCTGGGGCCCGAAATCGCGCGAGCCAGCCGAGAGGGAACAATGGGAAATAAAGCGCGGGCTTTCCACACGCGCGGCCTCCCTATGTGAACTGGAGTAGATGCGGCCGCCGTCTCTTATACTGCCTACGCCGCCGCCGCTCGAGCGAATCCCTCGGCTTTGCTCCCCCGACGGTGGAGGTGGCGGTGGCGACAGGAAACGGATCTTCTCCGTGGAAGCGGAGAGAAGACGAGAAAGGCAGAGAGAGAGAGAGAGATCTCTCTATATAAGCACCAGTATAAGCGCCGAAACGTCACCATATTTCAGCATTCAGTCCAGTGCTCTTCTTCCACTTCACACGGTGTCCGAGAAGCGTCGTCTCCCGCACCACCATCCACCCCCGCGATCTCCGTTTCCCCAAGCATGGATTTGATAGTGCGACAGGTAATGCACCGCGCGAGGAAGGTGCAGACTCGTGATTCGATAAATCGATTAGTTGGGCTTTTATCTCACTTTCGGGAAAGCTTTTGGGAAACGCGCCGTGTGGTCGCGGGTGTGCTTCCTCGCGTCTTAAGTGTGATCGCCAAACGAGATAATCCGCCATCGAGCCAAATAGCAAGGATAACATTAATATAATTTCGCTGAGTTCAGTTTCGCCGTAAGTACGCGAGAAAGGAATTTATATTAAATATCGTGTTTTATTTATTCGCGAGTAATTATAAAAATTTCATTGCATGTATGTATTTAAAGATGAAATTACATCAGCGAAATTATGTCAGTATTAATTCTTGGTATCTGCTACTGGGTAAATGCATGTGATTAGTCAGATTGGTTACTTGTATTGGAGCTTATTTCATAAAACTTCTAATACTATAACTATGTAGTAACTAGAACTTTAATGTAGTTTTCTAATTTATAACAATTTAAAATTAAGATTAAAGTCTAAGCATGAGTTTAAAAATTAGAGAAGATAGAAAAAAAAGAATTCGTACTGTAGAAATCTCAGGACAAGGTGAATGTCTTATTACTTAATTTGTGTGAGAAATTAGGTATTACAAAGGAAGGATATAGTTGTAACACTACAAAATTGAAATGTTTTAAAAACTTACATAATATATTAATTCCTCTCTATTGTTTAAAATTATTATTTACAGAGTAATTACACATAATATGAAAATATATTTTTTTATATTTTCCTCAGTTATTGCATAATATTGGAAATATTCGATATTTATAAAATAAGATCTGAAATTATTTTAGGGCAATTTTTAGAATTTGAGATTAATACGCAGTAATAAAAAAATTTCAAATCAAATAATATCGATTATCAGATGCATATTTTCTTGAAAAATTAATAATTTTTAATATTTAATTGCATTTAATAACACCTACATTTCAATTTATTTCTTTGCTTTTCCTTTGTTTCGAATAAATAAATATTAAAAGCGGTATCAATATTAACGGATAATAATATTAAATCAAATATTAACATTTTGTGTATATCTGTGTAGAAAACAAGAAAAAATGAGAGAGAAATACGAAGAGATAGAGAGAGAGAGAGAAAAAAAAATGTGAATTTGTAAAACATTAAATTATAAAAAATATACATGATACTAAAGTAAAACTATTCAGGCAAAAATTTAACATTAATTACTAAGAAAAATTATAATACCGTAACATAAATTATAAATGTATATAGTCAAAAGCTTAATACTAATCAAATAATTACCTATAACTAACTAAAACAATAACATTAAAAATATTTTCTTAATTTATTATATTTATCTTTTCCTACAATTATTAAACGTTAAATAAATTTAAATCAATTGTTATATAAAATTTTATATTAGATATTATATATTTGCATTCAATTTTAAGTACACGTAAAAAAATTATTAAATCAGTTAAAGTTTTTATATTTTTATCCGCTCGATAACATTATAAAATTATTATAAATTTGAATTCTCTGTATAGTATTATAAAACAAATTGATAAAAAAACCAATTGATATAGAGGAAGACACTTTATAAAACAATAATCAGATTGATAATAAAAAAAAAATGAAAAAGCGATAATAATACTGTAAAATAAGAAAAAAATTATGTAGATTTTATATCTTTAATGTTATATCTCTTAACAAATATTAACAACTCAACACTATTAACTTAACACTGTTATTATTAGAACAATAGTTTACTGTTATTATTAGAACAATAGTTTGCATATTTGTACATATACGTCGCATACACGTATATTGAAATGTAATGTGATTAATATGTGTAATTATGTAATTTATAACACGCATAATTACTTGTATGTTTACTAAAGCAGAGAAATATAACTGGTATAGGATTAAATGGTTGATTCAAGTTGCTTTCATTAATAGAATTATTTTTTCTCTGGAAAGTGCTGGTTTGTAGAATTATAATTATTCTCAAAATTTTTACATCTCACATATGTACAAAATTCCATAAATACATGTATATCAGATTTTATTAATTATATATTTTAATATCTTATACATGTATATTTAAAAAATGTGTACCTAGGTACACATATCGCCGCATTAATAAAAAAGTGACACGACTAAAATATTCATTTTTGACTTGTGTCATTTTTCTATCAACGCAGCAATATAAATATAAAATACAATGCATAAATTGAATAATTACGATTTCTTCGTAAGTGTCGGCTTAATCCACCGTTGCACCATTCCACAAAACTAATTTGTGCCCACGCGAGATTTTATCTTCGCTTATACTTAGACATTAGTGTAGCTAAAGCAGCTACTTAATTATCTGAAAAATCGTGCGTATGAAAGACGTTTTCCCGCGGAAAAGTCACGGATTACGTGCCTAAGAGCTCTCTGATTCCTTTACCGTTATGTTTAGTCTTGCGTCAGTTTTTAAAGTGCCGGTGATGTAATATCGTGCACCTTCTCACGATACGGCAGAAACGAGAGAAGAAAAGATAGAAGCGCATGAGTCTAATTTCCCGCCTACGCAACGTGCGCGCTGTTGATCATCTGACGTTCTCATCTGACGCATGGAAAGCATCCCTGGGAAATCATCGAAAATATTTTAGGAACTAATTAACGTTTCGCTGACAATAAACCTTTTTGTTTGAACCCGTATCACTTTGCTATATATATTTAACATAGTGCACGTGGGAACATTATACGTGTTAACATCTACGTGTCAAATGTTAACTTTGCAACATTTATCTTCGTAACACATGCGGGCATGTGTTACGAAGATAAATGCTTTTCGTTCCTGTGATTGGTCTAATTCAAATTATTTGCGTTAGCTAATGTTGAAAAACGATAAATGCTATAAACAATTTTATTAAATAACAATACATAGAACCTAAGAAAGAGATTTAAAAAAAATTGTTTTTTGGAAACTTATTACTTTCCTAGCAAGAAATTAGTTATATAGAGGTAACAATCCTTACTACGTTTGCGTTGATATACATATGATGTTGAACAGAAATAATTAATGTATATATATTAATGTTTTCTATTTTGGGATTAAATAAATATTAATAATAATAAATAATATTAAATATTTATTACTTTGGGAAGTTTTATTATTCAGAATTAGATACTTATTTCTTAAAATAGAATTATTTCTCAACAGATTTAAACATTTATCTAATTATAATAAAGTTAAATATATTTATATTTTTATATTAATATCATTTATGTGTTTATGCGTATTTATTAATGTAATAAATATTTTTATACAGGTACTGTTCGCCTTGATGGCGAGCATCAGCATCGTGCTCTGCGAACCACCCCTCAGCAATCAGTACGGCGTTCCCGGAAATTACGCAGGTGGAGGTCATGGGGCACAAGGTGGTGGAAATGGATTTGGGGGCCATTATGGTGGGCACGATCATGGTGGGCAGGATTACACAGATAATGAGGTATTTGTAATACGTCTATGTCTAAGCAACTTTCAATGAAATTGCACGTATGATTAGAGACAATGTATCCAATATATGTTCCAATATACCTGCATGACTTGCTAACACTTCTTCTCTTGAAATAGAAATCAATTTTCTTGACAATAATTAACCCGTGCTTATTAATAATTTTTTAAAATATCCGATATAAAATATTTGCAATGATGAAGCAATTGAAGTAATACTAAATTGAATAATAAATGCTATAAGTTCGATTTGCTAATAAATGCTATAAATTTGACAGTAATACGAGCGCTAATACAAACGCCGATACAGATGTATCGGTAAAACGTAGAAGAAATAATTTAGAATGTTTACGAGAGACGAGATATTGCAATTGTCCGATTAAAAATTTATGCAATACGATCTGACATAACGTGGGATCGAATCTCGGTCTATCCATCTTTGATCTTCATTCAATGATTACTTCAATAGTTGGTGCAACACGTTTTGCGAAATCGAGCTTCAAATTGCGTGATCATAATTAACCCGGACGCTCATTAAGTAATTAAGCGATACAGTTTTTTCATTGATACTTAAATCATTTAATAAAATGATACAAAATAATTGGTATTAATTAGCGCGATGGAAAAGCATTTTTATTTTTGCAAAACGTTTCGTCGCGACTTTCAAGGTTGCGATTTCGATTTACAAATTTAAGATGACTCACGATAAATCAATACTCCGCCGATGATTTTGAGGATTGCATAATCCGAAACATTATTAAGGAAAAAGCATATTACATCATCAAGACAGACGTTCTTTTGTTCATAGAATTTCAGAGTGTTGCTTTCTAAAACTAGATCCCTGCTCCTAATGTGCTCGCCGACTATTCTGTCGGCTGTTACGAAAACGTGAGGCACTCCCGAGGTCAAAGTTGAACACTTCAGATCTAGATTCGGTCATGTCTTGGAAGTAACATTGAACTCTTCGGATAAAAGAAAGGTCTGACCTCATTACGCAAATCCTTCATCCGGAGGAGTGCGCTCTGAGCTTGAACTAACTCTATTTTCTGAATGATCTCACGATTTTTTTTTTGTAGGCGGTGAGTAGGATGATAGATCCTGAGATACTTAATGTTATATTATGATCGAGATGTTTCCTTTATCTTTCATAATCTCTCACGATTTGTAGCTGATATCATTATGAGACCTACTACCCACTTATCTCAAATTAACATTAAGGCTGCATCATTTCTCACAGCAAGACGTTTATTATAAGACTTTCAGTAGTAATCATCATCGAAAGAGAGAATTGTTTGATAATTGAAATGTTTGCAAATAAAATCAATAATAATCAATACTAATTAATTGATATAAAAATAATAATCGTGACACGTAATGATCAATATTAAAAAATATCAGTTTGTATATACTTAATAATTTACTTGTTTAAAAAAAATATCGTAATGATTAAGAATTAAAATATTTTATTTTTTAGTTTTTTTTAAATTTTACTGCTGTAAATTAAAGCTACTTAATTATTAAAGAAAGAACTAATTATATTTGAAAAAGTATATATCGTGAAGATATTACAATGGAGTTAGCAAAAAAAATTAAATTTCTTGCTGTTCGCACATCTTAAAAAAAAAAAAAGGAATCATTGTACGAGCCAATCATCACTTTGCACAATATACCTCGCAATCAATTAGATTAAAAATCTATGATCGAAAGAAATGCTTATATGTGTCCTGCTCTCAGCTTACTACTCGCACATTGTTTGAACACGGCGTGATTACGCTAATCGAGGATCGACGCATCGCGCTCAAGTGCCTCGAGATGCTACAAATTCGCGTCCGAGAGCGAGAGCGTGGCGCAAACGGGGATGATGTAACAATATTAATAGGGTGAACCGCGACCGCGGGCATAATTCACGGTAAATCGTTATTGCTGGTTAGCTAATCGTCCCGGGGATCTGAGCGCGCTCGCGAGATGCGCGTTCGCATCTCGCACGGATCTGCCCGTCGGCGCGGCGCGCGGCGCGGCGTGCCGCTGCTGGTGATAGTAGCGGCGATGGTTGTGTGTGCCATGAGCCAGATTAAATCGCGGCGGCTTCTCTTCAGCATCGTCGTCCGCTCTACTTTGCCCGGGACGAAGGAAGGAAAGCTTGTCGTCCTGACTAGAGGTTGCGTCATTGCCGCATTAATAATGTGCATCCATTCCAGTTATTTTTTATCACCTTTCCTCATTTATCTCTGTACTTTTGCATCCTGCATCTTTTCTTCACTCTCTCTTTCTCTCTCTCTCTCTCTCTCTCTCTCTCTCTCTCTACATTCTACCTGCATCTTCTACGAAGATACAAGGAAAGAGGGGGGGGGGGCGACAAGGGATTCACGATCGCTCGCATCTGATTTTGCTTCAGCCCAAGGCCTACGAATTCGGCTATTCCGTGAAGGACCAGGCTACCGGAAACGACTTCGGTAGGCAGGAGACGAGCGACGGCGAGACCGTGCGCGGCGAATATAGAGTGCAGCTTCCGGACGGCAGGACGCAGATAGTCACTTATCACGCCGACTGGAGGACCGGTTTTCACGCCGACGTGAGGTACGAGGGTACCGCGTCCTATCCGGACCAGTACAACGCCGGTTACGGGGCTGGTCCCGCTGGTGGTCAAGGTTTCGGCTACCAGGGAAATCAAATTGGCGGTGGAGGCGGATTTACCGGGGGTGTGTAGCATAAAACGTTTTACTCCTAATTTTTTCAAGCATGATATACTCACATGTGATATCTGCATATTTTAAAAACATGTAGTTCAGCATTCTTAGAGGATAAATAACAGTGACCAAACTGAACAAAAAATATCTAATTAATATACAAATCGAGAAATTAATCTTATTAACGATAAAAACTATATTTCGTGATTTTGGTGATTCGTATGATTTGCTTCCACTTTTTTGTTGTGTTGAATGTGTTTCTTTTCGCATGAATTAATTTTTCCTGTATATCATTCTATAAATAAAAAGACTATAGAAAAGCGAATTTCTTTACGAGATATTGCACGCGTTGAAATATACCTAAACAAAATCATTCATTCGGACATGTTAAATCTAATTTCTTCTCATTTCTTTTTAAACAATTTCTATAATATTTATTATTGTTCGAACTTTCGCAGTATATTTCTCGATGTTTTATATCGGCAGGTAACCAAGGCAGTTACAACTACCCGTCGGGCGGCGGACACTTCGACAACGCCAACAACTACCAGTTTGGATCCAATTCCATAGACAGCAGTTATAACAATTTCGGTGGAAGGAATACTTATCCGGGAGCACCGTCACCCACATACGGTCCTGCTTTCCATTAGAATATATAAGAAAGTATTATATAGGATATACTGATCCTCTTGTGAGCACAGTCTTTTTTCCAATAAAGACATTTTTTCATAAAAATATATTATTTGTATAATTTTATTTGTATATCCAATACCAAAACTCTTAATGGCTTATCGTAGCGAGGAAGAATTGCGTTTTATATTCAACTCTTTCCGTCTTATTACTTATATCAATCGCGCGTATCTTTGTCAATTTCGTCATTTTCTTACTATACGTGAAAAGTCATACATACGTGATCAAAATGTTGCGACATTAACGCTATAATGTGTGACAAACGTTACGTTTCCGTTATAATTATACATACAGTTGATGAAGGAACGTCTTGATTATTCAACCTTGCCCACTGCATTCACCCTGTGTTTGTTTCGCACACCTCGTAGGTAATCTCGGACAGAGACGCGCGTCCCATATTTGCCTTGAGTTTCTCATATGAAGAGATGAGATAAAACTCTTTCCTGGTGAACAGTTACTCTCTCAGGAGCCTGTGCTAGCTGTATATTTCTCTCTCGTACAAATTGTGCCGCTTAAAAGAGGTTCATACAGTATATTCTTTTGCTAGATTTTAAAAGAATATACTTTCTAAAAATATGAAACATAAAATATATTATTACAGATATTGGACTAATGATGTTTTCTATTACTCAGTAAATTTATGTTAACCAAGTTATCTTAAATTTCAACTGCTGTTTACAGCTCTTTCGTGTGGTAAAGAAACGTTTTTTAACGTATAACGGCAACTTATTTATAAAAGACAAAATGTATGTATGTGCTTTTTTTCTTATTATGTCAAGTTCAGCGCCTGAGTTACTTGTAAGTACATCGTCAGAAGATGCTGCTGTTTTGCATTATGTCATCAGGAAGTTTACGTGCCCGTCTGTGGAGATAAACTTTCTCCAACGTGTAACATCTAAATTGCACACTGCAAATTTCATTAAATCGCAAGCACACATTACTACACGTATAAAAGTATCTGTACCATTATCATTCTATCCTATTCTATGATCATATCGTGTTAATAGCATAGTAGGAATATTAGAATAATTTCGCAAAACCGGTTCATTTAATTCCCATATATATTAGATCATTTTAAATTAATTTGGATTGCTAATTTGATATTCATATTAAGCGCAATAATATAATCTTTAAGTCGATACAAATGTTTTCTTATTGTTGCAAATGATGTATGTGTAACATAAATATATAAATCTTTATTATTATACTTATTGTTAGATTAAATTGAAATAATATCTAAGTAAAAATTTTACAATACACACACATACATACATATATATATAATAAAAATTAAAATAAGACTATTTTGCAAAACATATTATTAAACATTTATGTATTAAAATAAAATAAAAATCTTCTATTAATAATAAATGGATGCAAAAAATCTGAAATTTAGCCACCTGCTAAAAATTGCTTAAAATACTCTCTGCAAGAATAGATATCCATTTTTCACTGCGCATTCATCACGTTTTAAAACGTGACGATGTCATTCGAACATAAGAAAATATGACGGAAGAAACGGCGAAGATAATCGCGCGCACGCGGATGTCCGGGCTATTACAAATTTGAGGCGCACGCGGATGTCCGTGAGATCCTGGCTATTACAAACTTGAGGTGAATCGGATAGGCGTCGAGATATCTAGGACAGTCGCGTGCGCGCGAAAAAGGTTCGGAAGATTTACGAGTTCGCCCGCGAACGAATGAAACCGGGGATATTCCAACCATGTTTATTGGTCCTCTCTAGAGAAAGTCACCGGGTGCATTTTTGCTTAAAGTGCGACTCGCGTGAATCCTCAGACCGATTAAGAAACGCTTCGTTAGGGGATTCCTGTTTGATTTCATCTTTAATGCCCGCGATTGCTCCAATAATATATTTCTCCGCACGAGAATCTCTTCCCTTCTAATTGACTCGTGTGTCGAGAGTCTCACGTAATGAAGGAAACGGTCTATTAACTCCGTATGCTTCTGAATCTTTTTTTATATAATCGAATAAAAGAACACAAAAATCTCGCAATATGCTTTACTAAAATTCATTAAAATTTAATAAAATTGCAATATGTATATATATATATATGTTTATATATTATATATGTCTATTTTCATTTTGTTTAAGACAATTTACATTATTTAAAATAATACTAAACATTTAAAACAAATTTTTACGAACTACATAATATTATTAGAAGACATCGAAGTAATTTACAGATTTGCAAAAATATGTATACATTAATACGATTTAGATACGTCAAATTTTTATATCTCATCTTGGTCTTATACAACAGTACATTAAATACTTGTATAATTACATTGATCTTAAGGGCGTCCGCAGGATTTTTTCTAGAGGGGGGCATAATCCAAATTTTTAATACGAACTATCGCGAGGAGCAAATGTCCAAACGTTGTGTACTTGTGTTGTATTTTAGCTCTCTCACATTTGACAAACATATTTATTATTTTAATTATTTGTAAAAATAAGAAAGCCAATTTTGAATTTTCTTATACTTGTTTGATTTCAGAGAGGGGGGCAAATGCCCCTCCTTGCCTCCCTCCCCTGCGGACGCCCATGATTGATCTCACATCTATTTTTAAACAGTTAATTTTGAATAATATAATTAATAATTTAACAGTTTATTTTATTTTAATTTCTCTTTGTTGCATGCAGATTTGGATATTTCTTTATATAGACATACTTTTTATCTTTTTTGAGAAAAATTTTTCTCTCATTATTTAAAAAATTATTGCGCTTTAAAACTCTCGGTAAGCAAAGATCGTCGCAATATTAAGAACCTTTTGGTGGTCCTTGAAATGTCTTATTCAAGTGTATCCTTTAGAAAGGAATGTAAAGTCTAGTGGACCCGAAAGTAGACATCGTGTATGAACTACTGTTTCATGTTCAGACACCTTTTATATACGCGAGGCGCATCTAGACACCGATCCCTACCCTGACTTACTTCACGTACGTGGAATCCTGCTTCTTGAGAGGTGACGTATCCGCGCTACATCAGATCTGATGTAGCTCGGCCGCGGGCTAAAGCAAAAGAGGCCCGGCAGAAGAATAACCACGCGCATGCACATATATCTACGGTGCGCGTGTAGCATATTCGACGAGCCTTCCGCATCGCGTGGAGCATTGCGTAATGCCGTTTATCCCCGATTACAGAGCAAACCGTGCGCATCCGCGAGCCTTCACTCGGATGAGTTACGTGGCCACCTATCTGCACCGTGCTCCTACCTGCCGATGCCGCGCTCGGTGCCCGATCCATAATTAGTTGCAATTATGCCGAGATTAATTAAGCACCCGCGCGCGATCGCGCCGCGTATCGAATCGCGTTGCCGAGCGCGCGATCGCGCGCGTTTATCGCGAGCGGAAAGTCGAAATTGTAAAACGAATATACAGACCGTATGCAATCCACAGGGAATCAAATCCAAATATTTAGATTCGTCAGAAACGGCAAATATTATTTACGAGAGAAAATTCTCCAATCTATTTCGCCGATATTTATTTATTAATTTCGTTATTTGCATTTTGACAATAGTGGTGGGAATAATGGAAAATCGCGTTCGTATAAAATTTGCGTTCTTTGTCGAACCGACACCGTCTTAGAGGCGGCATAAAAGATTTAACAAGATGGAACTCTCTTGCTTCAGCGTTTGTGTGCGAGGTTGTTGTGTGAAGTCATTAACGAAGCAATGCGCAGAAGTAGGCTGAGGTAGGTGATCGTGATGAATGGAAAGATGGCCCACGCATATGCCGGAATCCGACAGTGTTTGTGAAACAGCTGATTAATGTGGTGATCGATGTGTCCGGATTAACCTTACGGCGCGTACCGAAAATTTTTAGCCTTCATCATTCAAATTGTGCGAGGAAGAAAGAACGGACGCTATTCCCACAGCGAAAGTCTTAATTAATAATAATAATGGAACATATATAAGAATCTACGAAACAAACTTTTGGAGAAAATTTATGAAAAAATAATAATTTCCAAAAATTACGTAATCGTTACAGATTTGGCAGTTACAAACTCAGCTTAGCGTGATGCATCGTATCGTATTGTAATACCCTTATTCTCGTAAGTCTTATGTAATGCGTAAAATCGTCCAAAATTGTTAAAACGTGCGGCGAAAGGTCATTATGTGCCTTTTCTGAAATGCTCGGTACCACGCGAAATTTGCAATTTCGACGAAATTACTGCCGGCCGCGTGCAGATCTGATTTGTAGTAATATCCCGAAACAACTCACCATAAAGGTACCACCATTATATTGTAATTACGAGGTCGTCGAAAAAGGTAAAGATACTTGAAGTTCGCGGTGTGCAGTTAAGCATGTTGGTGATCAATTCACCAACCATTCACACAAGCACGTAAATTGATATCCTTGAAAAAAATTACTTAAAAAAAGGTAAAAAGGCGTAAATTGTTTACGCTTGTTAAAAAATTTTTTTAATTTATTAAAAATATATGTAATATAATAAATACATATTCAAAAAATATTTTATATTCAACATTTGGTTATGGGCATTAATTGTTTCAAATGCAAAAACTAATCTGCGATCAGTATATTGTCGCTTTTTGTCAAAAGTAAAATTACAGATAAGGTATACTTCATTATAGAATACATGTAGATCAACGATATTACATAAGAATTATACTGCAAAGAAGTTGCTATATTTTTGTGATATTATACCGATTTAATTACATTTTCATACAACGACATTTAGATAATGTTACCTTCACATTCGTACTAGTATATATTGTTGTAATAGTAATTTACTTAATTTTGTGAGACGCGTAGCGAATTTGGCATCGAGCCGTGCAGTGCAAGGCATTGATTATCAGAAGTTGCGGTAGTTAATACGTCATGGTGTTCGAACACGCATATCGATCAAATATTATATAAATTAGAAATTCAAATAAAATGTGGAGTACAAAGATATTTTCACCGTTACTAATGCGCGATATAGGTAACAGATATAATAACTGCAGCAACGTGCACATTAGTTTGAGATAGTGTACGGGTATTATTTCAAATTGCGCCTACCGTAAGACC